TACGCACACACACACACACACCTGGGATCAAAGGAACATTTGCTACACTTTTATCCACCAAAGGAAAAACAATTGCAGACTTTATTGCCCATTGTCTAATACCACATGAAACCACATTAAAAGTAAGACAAACAGTGCTTTTGGTAGCGGTTCTACTCATAGCAGATGGAGGCAAGGTGCCATATTTGCTTTGGGATGGATTTCTGCTTTGTTAGTGGAGAAAACCATCTTTAAGTCACAGTAAGTCTTCCACAGTAAGTCATATCTGTGTTAACTTCCCTGTTGCAAACAGTTCAATGGGCCGACATTTTATTTGTATCGTAACGCTGGCTTCGAGGTGAGCGAGAGCCCTCCACCTCGTGTTGGCACAGCTGACATGGGAAAATAGGGAATCATATGAAAATAGTTTACCAAGAAATAGGTTCTTCTTCTGTCTTCAGCTGAAGTCTGTGATGATAGATTTACTGTACAATTGAAATACAAGGAACATTATAATAATAATAATATGCCATTTAGCAGACGCTTTTATCCAAAGCGACTTACAGTCGTGCGTGCATACATTTTTGTGTATGGGTGGTCCCGGGGATCGAACCCACTACCTTGGCGTTACAAGCGCCGTGCTCTACCAGCTGAGCTACAGAGGACCACATATTTCCATAGTCAGAGAAGATGGAAAGGCTATTACTTTAACACTTCTCCAGGCATTGGGGGATCTGATCATATGTGCAGCCCAACTGCAGTAAAGACGACTTGGAACATACCCAATAACAAAGATATAAGAAAACTAGCAAGACTGTAGGCTAAAATACTGAGGTTATATGCTACTGATGTAGGTTTTACTAACTAAGAGAGAACACTGTGATACATGTTGCTCTGGGTTAGAGACTAGAGAGAGAGCAACCTCTGTCAAACGATCTCTTCCGACGATCTCCATCACGGCCCATAATGAACCCCGTTAATTAAGAGCCTGGTCAAGGAAGAAAAAGAAGAAGGGGTTGATAATGGAGGAAGAGGATTTAATTAGCCTCCTCAGATCCAGACTCACAGGAAACAATTAAGGATCTCTTATCCTGCCTTAATGGGCTTCAGTGAGCCAGAGCCCCTCATTAATTCTCTCTTCTTCAGTCTTTCGCTAATACGCTGATTACATGCTACCACTAACCTCTTTTAGAGAAACACAAACGGATGGGAATGTGTGTCAGAAGTTGTGGCTAAGGCAGCCTAGTCTATTGGTAGAAAAAAGAAAAGAAAGAATGATTTGAAATACGTTGAGAATAGTTCTTCCCGGAGATCATTCTGCAAAAAGAGCTTCCCCCTCAATCTGTCTTTACTGTCATTTCCATCTTTTATTAATAATCATGGGTTGTTTTCATTTCTTCATCTGGAGGAAATTGATATTATTGTCTCCAGAATGGAGGGTTTGTGTGGAGTAAATAGAGGGATGGCGAGCTATCCTGTCTCTGTATCTTCCTGTAAATCTGTCTGTCTGTCTGATAATCAGTCTCCTGATGTTCTAGTCCCTTTCATCCATCCATCTGTGTGCGTGTGCACGTGTGTGTGTGTATTTGCGTGGTGTGTACGTATGTGCACGTTTGTGTGTGCTAGGAAGAGAGAAAGGCTGTGGGACAACCTTCAACCTTTGCCTGCTGTAAGGTCACTGTCCCTCCCAATGGAAGGAAGAGGGGTGACTGCCCTAAAGAACCACACCTCAACCACCCCCCCCCCCCCCCCCCCCTCTCTATCCCCAAAACATCCCCAAAGGGAGCTGCAAGAATTCCTGTGATCTTTTTTGTTTTGCACCATAGGGTCAATTGATGCTATTGTGAGATTTGTTTTCCCATCCATGTTCAAAGCCATCCATGACCACCTATGGTGTTAACTATCCTTTGTTTGGAAGGAATCCTTCCTACTGACAGCAACTTGCAGATCAACATCCTATGTTTCAACCACACTATGCCTCAGGACGACAACTAGGGCTAAAGTGTGGAGAGTTAACATCTCAGGAATCCCATTGATATGATGTGCAGCATGACTGCAGTAGAAGACGACCTGTAAACCAACCGGTTATTTGGTTAATGTAATTGATTGGCTGGAGATCCCATTTATTTAATCAACCATTTATTTTATTTTATATTAATAGGTTCGATTTTAGAGCAAAGACCAGCAGACAATGTGTTTCTCCGTGACTGGAGCTAAATCAAAAGAGCCAATGAGCTCGGCTCCAGTACCACCGCTCCCCGGGAAACATTTACAAGTCGACACTTAAAACGTAATATAGGGTTCTATTCAATCTGTATTGCTGAAGCGTTACTGATTGCGCAGAGGTTTAAAGGTAATTTCCGATTGAGCCGACATGCAGCGGTTACCGTGAATGCAGTCTCCACTAAGGCGGGAACATTGCCTTTATGTTTCAATCACGCTGTACTTCCGCTATATGGATTGAATATAGCCCATACACTTTTACTTCACAAAAGCACTTCCTACAGAACCATATTTTCAAAATTCCCATGACCATTACCAAACTAACATTCTGTCACAGGGTTAGCCTAGGCTAGCCTGGTTAATCTTAAAATGGACTGACATGAAGATTCATTAATTCCATTGTTTTTATTACAGTGTACTACAATTGAGATCAAATTCCTTAAAACAAAAAATGATATTCCAACAAGCTGACCATCTTTCTCACAGTACCAGCGGAGGTGAATTCATGAAACATGGTGCTCATCCTGAACTGTTGCTCACCAGCCTTGGAAGATGAATAGACATGATTAAAAACACCATACAAACAACACTGTGAGCCTTTATTATAGTAATAAATAACACTCCACTTTAATAGGGTGTTTGTTCCCATGTGCAGGCCTGGTGGCTGTGTGTGTATGTGTTGTGTGTGTACGACACGCACGCTCGTGCCTGCCTGCTATGGGGGTAATGAAAAACATGTTTAATAGAGCATCAGCAGGCCACATGACAGGAGTCTCCTGAATCTCTCTCACCCCGGGAAGTTTCCCTGGAATGGGACAAAAGCAGGGCCTGAACGAGACTTTAGATAATGTGTGTGTCATACAACTTTCACCTATCCAGTACTTTCAGATGTGTGAACACAGAAGGTGTAGGAGGGTCTAAGGCTTAAGCCAAGGAAATGGCTAGGACAGAGAGAGAAGAGATCGACTTTGAACGATTGAGAATAAATTCAGTGCATCATTCTACTGTTATTGCCCAAATGTGTTCACAGATGTCTGTTGTTTTGTGGGGGCACAAACTGACAAGTAAAACAGTGAGAATACAAGAGTGCGTGTGTCTCAATTTGAATCTGTGTTTGTGTTTGTGAATCAGCCATTTTGACTGACAGAATACATGACCCGGAGGGCAGCCACACATCAAACTTAATGGGCTGTGTCCCTAGCTACAGAGAGAGGCCAGTCACATGTCTAGCACCCAGAACATTGTTATTGTCCCCCAGATCGAGTGTGATGTTGAATATATATTGCTCCATGACATTGGTATGCAACGGCCATATACATACTCTCATACCACAGCCGTGGGTGATGACAGCACCGAGCATGAAACACCAGACGGCATGTTTTTCATCAAACTACAATGTAATAGTGATGCCTGGGTTCAGGGCTGGTCTTAGCCTGGTTAAACCAGACTGAACGTCGTGCTCACCATTGAGTGAGTCTGGTTCAACCACGCTAGCCTAAAGTAGGCTATCCTTGGTTCAGAATGTAACCGTTTTGTAATGGCCATGGCAACTTTGAATACAGTTTATGCAAGTGATTTGGTGAAGTAAATCTGGATATTGCGTTCAGGGTTGGGTAGGTTACTTTCTAAAAGTAATCAGTGACCTGTGAAATTGTAATCAGTAACGTAACTTTTGGATAACCCAAACTCAGTAACGTAATCTGATTACTTTTAGATTACTTTTCCCTTAATAGGCATTAGAAGACTAAAAGGATCCATCAAACACATTTTGTGTGGCAGTGGTCTCGGACTTATGGTCAGACTCGCTCAGATGGAACAAACTTAAACTCAACGCTGAATTGAATGTAATTGAGAAAACAGAACGATGTCATAATGTATTTATTTTTGCAAACATCCTTTCGGAATTTAAAAGTAATCCATTAAGTAATCTAGTTTTCAAAGTATCTGTAATCTAATTACAATACTTTAGCTGGTAATGTAATCAGTTACTCCCCAATCCTGATTGCATTTTAAGTGAATAGATTTTTTTTAAAACTGTTGTACGTGTTACCAAGGAGCGGTGGTTACTGCAAGCAACAACTGCATGAACTCACTGGCTCGTTGATTTAGCTTCAGTCACAGAGGACTGCAGTGTCTGCTGATTCTTTCTCTAAAATCTAGCCTATTCATGAGAAACCGATTCGACACCACAGCCTCAATAACATTAATTAACCAAATAAAATGGTATTCCAGGTCATCTTCTTTGCGGTCGCGCTGCACATCTTGCTGCATCATATCAAATTGACTTTATGGGATCTGATAATCCGCCTCAGCGCAACCATGATATTAATGATCTGGATCATACCCTATTCCAAAGATGTAAAAAAGACTGCAGACAATTCAAGTCAGTTCAGAACAGGTTTATTGTCATCTACATGGTTGTTGCCTGTGGGGCTTGCGTAGCCTCAAATACAGCAATGTCGCCAGTGCAGTGAGCGAGACCACTCCCACAGCTGCACACACAGCAGCCAGCAGTATCATCATGAGAGACACACCTGAGGAAGGAAGTGAAATTATTTCACTCAGAATATAATTGAACTTTATCATAAACTCAGTAATTACAACATTTCTGTCCAAATGCTTACCTACAAGCGCTAGCTTATAGCATGGGTTTTTAGCAGTTTCTCAAAGCTTCAGTTTGAAATAGGGAGGTATCTTAACTTGTCCAATAAGAACACAGATTTTTACTCACCATTGCTAAATGTTTTCTTAAGGTGTGCCCTAATGAACAACTACAGCCAATGCAAAAGTCCTTCACCTGTTGTGCTCTGGTAGTTGACCTCTAGTTGAGATGCCTGCTCCTCAGGGAACTCATCCATCTGTAGCCAGTCAGAGTCCTGGACTAAGATGGGACCGAGGGCAGCCTCCGCTTCCCAACTATCTGTTGTGAAACAGTAATAAGTCAGTGTACACAATCGGATGGGGAAGAGATGCAAGCTAGACTCCACTTGATAGAAAAACACCACCAACATTGATGACCAAATCATAAACGTCAAAGCTTACTCTGGTAGAATACATTGTCAGTCGGCAGACTCCTCCCCTTTCTCATGCCACAGGTGGAGTCACAGCAGCCACACACCTGGTCATCTCCACCTGCTGAAACCCACCTTAGAGGAAGAAAAACAAGACACCAGTTCAGAAAATACAAACAAATTAAAACCATGTATAGCTTTGGGTTCTAGCTCTATACAAATCCAATATATAAACATCCAGGTTTGCAGTATTATAGTTGTGCCCATGTGCAGTATAAACTCAATCCCCATAGACAAACCGGTTTGCCTCTGTAGTAAACGAGCAAGCCTTGTGTTCTGAGTCAATGGAAGCAGAGGCCGACCTTGCTCTCAGATGACACGTGATGTACATCTATAAGAAGGTAGGAGAGATATTACTTGTACAGGGTTGTGTTCATTAGAGTAAACAGAAAATCAAAGTCAGTGTTTCTTATTTGACAAGTCCAGGTGTTTCCCGTTTGTTTTCTTCCATTTAATGCCTAATGAACAAGACACGTGAGTACAGTACATACCGACTAAAAATAAAACCTTCAGGTGAATGTATTGTTACTCACAGAGCTCCTCTCATCTTGGTGGAACCTGAAGGCCTCAAGCTGAAACTGGAGTTTGTCATCCTCAGTTTGCTGCAGGAAGTGGGACTTGGAGCCTGTCTGTCTGGCATCAGTCAGACACCTGATGGGATGAAATAAAAACAAAGTTTCATTTACATTCACAATATACAGAAGTACGATAAGCTGGAAGGGGAACACGCACACGCACCGCTCACGCACCCATGGTTCTCAATGAAGGAATATCTAGGTTTAGAGGCCATTTCAGGGGCCAGCGTAGCCACACAGCTGTCCACGTAGACACGGAGAGATGTGTGGTGGTCTTGGATAATGGAGGCTTCAATGTTCATGACATGCCCCAGAAAGTAGACACTGGAGGGCCTCTCAAATTGCCAGTCATCTGAAAGAGAAAAAAGCTAAAGCAGCAAGAGCCCCACAGTGGATGTGTCATAATACCCATAAAACCTAGAGGTCAAGCAGGGAAATGGTTCCAGTTGTTTTTCCACCATTCCTTTTCCCCATAGGGGATTTTAGAAAACTTAAAATAAGGGCTGTGTTTTGTGTAAGCTTACCCTGGCGTGACGTTTTGATAGCCATGTAAATCGCTCTCGGACAAGGTTACTTTTATCAATATATTCAGCTCTATTTACTCTCAGATTCTAAAATGCTAATTAGCATCAATGTAGACATACGCAAGACTACAAATCCCTGCAAGGTCCTGCACGTCATCTCTAGCTGACACCTTTGCTAACAGGTATTGTGTTAATTTTAAACTTGCACAAGACAGTACACAGAATTGTCAATTTAAAGATTTCGCCATTTTTTTTTTCATTTAGCTAACATTAGATAGTTAATCCAGAGATTCTTACCTTTGCCTTGATTCGGCAGTCTCGTCCAGATCATGGCATTTGTAGCGCTTTATGATAGCCATATTAGCAGCTGATTAGCATTTACTTTGGGGGTAGATACAGGCGAATATATTAATAAAAGTGACTGTCCTAGAGAGATTTACACAGTTATCAAAACGTCATGCCATGGTAAGCCTACACAAAAATCCCCTATGGGAAAAATGAATGATAGAAAAAATTATTGGAACCATTTCCCTGTTTGGCCGCTAGGTTTTATGGGTATTATGACTCATACGGTGGTACTCTATAACCCAAAATGGCAGAGGTCAACTTTAAAGGAGTAGTCTCACCTTTACTTCCAGTCAAAAATGCAGCCCCTGCACTTGTTTTGAAAGTTTGAGGGTGGGTATTGGCGACTAAGAATTTGCTTAGTTTCTTGGTCAAATGTGTTCACAGAATCTCAAGTTCCTACTGGAGTGATGAAAGTTAGATTGCACCTTTAAAGCCCATGTTATATACCCACCTGTCATGAGCCTGAGAGAAAATACCAACTGCTGCTCTGCAACCTTGGTGAAGGCATAGGGAACCCAGGTAGGCTTCAGAGCATTACTGGTCACATTGTGCTTCCTGATGGATACAAACATTTTACAGCAAGAGCCGGGTTGTGTTCATTAGAACAAACATGGAAATCATTTGAAAAGAGAGACGAAAGTCCTTACTTTTGATAATGGCATTCAACTCCAACCTCAGCATAATTTGTTCTTACAATGGGAGTGCCTTCAACTGGTGTTGGTGTGTAGATAAGGGTAAAGGTATAGATGAGTACATCCTCGGTTATCTAAAGAAAACAAAGTCACTTTCCAGCACTGCATATCGTACTACAACACCACTAAGCATCAATACAATCCACTCTTCCCTGTACAAAGACAGTGACTCTGGAATCTACAGATGTTCTGTTCCATTTCTCATTCCAAACTAAACATGTTGCCAACAACAATTACCAATACAGAACCCATTCAATGTGAATGAGCCTTATCAATATACAGTATAACTTAACATGTGTTCTTTTGTAGCTTGCAACACGTATGGAACTGAACTATTCTTTGTACAAATTCCCCACACACAGACACTAGGCCCAAACATACCGTTAGTGTGCTCCTACATTCTTGCAGCTCAGACTCAAACAGCAGCCTCTGGTCAGCATGGTCAAACTCTGTGGACGTGCAGCCTCCCAGGGTCAGATCAGACGGTCGGATCAACTGACCGTTCCCTAGGAAATCCTGCTTGACCTCCACCCGAACCATGTCCTCCCCGCACTGGACCGCTACGCTGGTGGCAGACACTGGATTCTTCAGCTCAAACTCCACAGGCACTTTGGCCTCCTTCACCATATGGTTCAGTACTGGGCCCTGCACAGACTGTTTCCCTAGTTGAAACGCCTGTTGCTTTCTGGCAGGCTGTTGAGATTCATATTTTACAGGCACCTGGGTTGGTTTTTGAACAGGGTTTCTATATTCAAACTGTATAGGAGATGGTGCAAGTTTCCGGTGCTCAGCTTGGACAGGGATTTGAACAGGTATCCTTTGTTCAAATGGCATAGGGGTCTGAATAGGCCTGAATAAGTCTTGGGTGGGTATCCGTGAGTCTGTGCTCACAGGCTCTTCTGCTTGCTGCTGTGGACCATAGCTGACAAAGTCAGATGTTCCTTGAATACGTGATGGCATTGGAAAAAGCAAACTCTGGGCATCACTGAATGACTTGAATGAGACAAGCACAACAAACCAAACCAAATCTACACTCAACCCCATTCTGATTTTTGACATAGTGTCTGTTGTGAATTCAATGATATTTCATTTTAAAGCAGAATCTTGGAGCTTGCTCCCGGCTCCTCCCTCTTGTCGTTAGTGAAATTGCATTCCAGCCCAGGAGAATTGCACACGATTATGGGTGTGTCTCAATACTCTTTCATGGTTTTCTTTCCTTGTCTCCTGTCACTCATAGAGGGTAGGACATGAAAGGACTCAACACTATTGAGATGCACCCTCAGTATGACTGACTTTTGCTTATAGTCTTTTCACTGGTCGTTATCCTAATTAGTTGCAGCACTTGCCTGTTTTTTAGCAAAATACGTTGAAGATTAAATTATATAACTGAATGATATTTCCTACCATTTACTATTTATAGTTTTGGGTATGACAAGAGGAAAGATTATTAGGGCTGTCAAACGATTCAAACATGTAATCAAATTAATCGCAGGATTTGCTGTGATAAAATTCTGAATTTGCTCAAATTAATTTGTAATTTAAGATTTTTCATATTAAAACAGAGTGAGTGCCCTTTTATGAGCCCTATGAGGAAAAGCCACCTCACCCTGGGGGTTTGAAGCCAGGCCTCTATACGGTGATCTTAAACGTCTACGTCAGATGATCAAGTGGCTCCAGTGGCTTGAAGAATGTGGGCTGTGTGTGTGTGTTAGGTGATCTATGATCGTTCCCAGTGGGGCATCAGATGGAGGGGAGTGTGAGGGACAGTGAGCAGGTCTCGTCTGGGGCCTATATGAGCTGTCAACAGGCCTGTCAATCACACCTAAGGGGCGGGGAGACAGAGGGGACAGGAAGTACATGGCCCCAGTCTTTATGGTTGAATTCTAATACGAAAATGTCCTCACTCACTGACCTCTACCCTTGTTGATTTTCTTGTAAAGAAATAAAAGAAATGCTTGGATGGGTATCAAGAATGTGGCAATAATATAGCAGAAATGTTGTCTAGGCTTCAGTTCAACAGGCTAACCCAGTCTTGTGTGAAGATGACTCGGGTTTAAACACACAAAAAGAAACATCACATATTAACCTGCAAGGACTGTTCTTGGAAGAATCAGCAAACCCATCTCCCATAACACAATACTGTAGCCACCTTTGCGTTGAAATACCGGAATACATTATCTTTCCCCAGCCGTTTTTTCCCAAAAGACATCCCACCTGAAAAGCCTCTATTGTCAGGAACTGGCTGCTATCTCCCAATCAGCAGGCAAACAAAAGGCAGAGGAGAGAATAGAGACTATAGCTCTGAGATGAGTCTGCAGCTGTCCCAAATGCTACACCCTATTCCGGTCTGTCAGTGCACTATATAGGGAATAGGGTGCCATTTAGGACGCAATCGGAGTCTGAGCCCCAGTCTGTCAGTCAGCTCCCTTGGTCCATTTCTCCATCCAACTTAGTTAACAGGCTCTAATGTGGCCCTTGGGGAGCCCTAATTTGGCTCCTGAGGGCCTCCAAATAGGGCCTGGCAACCTCTACGCCTCTGTTTCCAATAAGCCTGGCTCATCTAGCGCTGAAGGGGAGCGCAGGAAGCAGGTAACAGAGACACCCACCCCACACACACACACACACACACACAGACATACTCTGTCTCACCAGCAGACCAGCTGCTTATGTGTTTAGCTTCTTTTCTTCCTTTTTTATCGCTTTGGTACATTTTCACAACTTTTGGTACAAAACACCAAACTGGTCACACAGCCAGTCTTTCATGCAAAACCTGTCATTGTGCATTCATTTGGATTGTAAACCTCTCACCACAACCATTGAGTCTAAATATAAGTTTGTGAAATGTAAAGAGAACATTGGTTTAATCACCTAAACACAATGAGATCTTTTCAATTTAGTTGTTTTAACTACCAGTTAATTCAATAGCAAACAATGCAAGACACGCGTTTCAAATCGCCCTTAGAAAAGCTGAAAGCAATATACTACAGTACTGTAAATTACAGTTTTCACATTGGGCAATACACTTACATTACCCAACAAAATTGACAGAAAATCTATAATTTCCATAATATCTACAGTGCCTTGCAGAAGTATTCATCCCCCTTGGCGTTTTTCTTATTTTGTTGCATTACAACCTGTAATTTAAATGGATTTTTATTTGGATTTCATGTAATGGACAAAATTGTCAAAAATAGTGAAGTGAAATGAAAAAAATAACTTATTTTAAAAAATTCTAAAAAATTAATAACGGAAAGGTGGTGCATGCATTTGTATTCACCCCCTTTGCTATGAAGCCCCTAAATAAGATCTGGTGCAACCAATTACCTTCAGAAGTCACATAATGTCACATGATCTCAGTATATATACACCTGTTCTGAAAGGCCCCAGAGTCTGCAACACCACTAAGCAAGGGGCACCACCAAGCAAGCGGCACCATGAAGACCAAGGAGCTCTCCAAACAGGTCAGGGACAAAGTTGTGGAGAAGTACAGATCAGGTTTGGATTATAAAAAAGTATCCGAAACTTTGAACATCCCACGGAGCACCATTAAATCCATTATTAAAAAATGGAAAGAATATGGCACCACAACAAACCTACCAAGAGAGGGCTGCCCACCAAAACTCACGGACCAGGCAAGGAGGGCATTAATCAGAGAGGCAACAAAGAGACCAAAGATAACCCTGAATGAGCTGCAAAGCTCCACAGCGGAGATTAGTATCTGTCCATAGGACCACTTTAAGCCGTACACTCCACAGAGCTGGGCTTTACGGAAGAGTGGCCAGAAAAAAGCCATTGCTTAAAGAAAGAAATAAGCGAAAACACGTTTGGTGTTCACCAAAAGACATGTGGGAGACTCCCCAAACATATGGAAGACGGTACTCTGGTCAGATGAAACTAAAATTGAGATTTTTGGCCATCAAGGAAAACACTACGTCTGGCGCAAACCCAACACCTCTCATCACCCCGAAAACACCATCCCAAACAGTGGTGGCAGCATAATGCTTTGGGGATGTTTTTCATCGGCAGGGACTGGGAAACAGGTCAGAATTGAAGGAATGATGGATGTCACTAAATACAGGGAAATTCTTGAGGGAAAACTGTTTGTCTTCCAGAGATTTGAGACTGGGACAGAGGTTAACCTTCCAGCAGGACAATGACCCTAAGCATACTGCTAAACCAACACTTGAGTGGTTTAAGAGGAAACATTTAAATGTCTTGGAATGGCCTAGATCCAATTGAGAATCTGTGGTATGACTTAAAGATTGCTGTACACCAGCGGAACCCATCCAACTTGAAGGAGCTGGAGCAGCTTTGCCTTGAAGAATGGGCCCTGTGGCTAGAAAATCCCTGTGGCTAGATGAGCCAAGCTTATAGAGACATACCAATATACTTGCAGCTGTAATTGCTGCAAAAGGTGGCTCTACAAAGTATTGACTTTGGGGGGGTGAATAGTTATGCATGCTCAAGTTCTGTTTTTTGTCTTATTTCACAATAAAAATTACTTTGCATCTTCAAAGTGGTAGGCATGTTGTGTAAATCAAATGATACAAACCCCCCAAAAATCCATTTTAATTCCAGGTTGTAAGGCAACAAAATAGGAACAATGCCAAGGGTGGTGAATACTTTCGCAAGCCACTGTATCCAATGTGTAATCAAAGGTGTGATCAATGAAGACATCCTCTACAAGCATTCATGCAATTATATTTGAAAAATAAAATGTGTTTTTTTGCAACATAGGTGTAGTGTCTAATCAAATGTAAGAAATTAAATGAAACATTAAATGAATGAAAATAATACATAACATTTAGCACGCATTAATTTGCATCAAGCCTGTCTTGAGCGTTGGGCCATAAATTCTCATCCAGAGTGAATGTCCTCATTGTTCATGCACCGCGGGAATCCAAGCTTGACATTGGTCTGCATTGTCGTTGCATGCCTCATCCATGGCCAGAAGGAGGGTGGCACGCTCATCGGGATGGCGATCGTACACCTTCCACCCCCATTCTTGAATAGGGTTGAGGAAAGGAGAGTATGGGTGTAGGTATAGGGTCACGAATCAGGAATGGGCCCGAAACTATGCCTGAACCACCCCTGCATTGTGGAACCTGACACAATGACATAGGTGACCCATTCACCTTGACAGGCCTGCCCAATTTCATTGAGAAACACATTGAGGTGTGCAGCATTGTATGATCCAAGTAATGGCCTACGTCCTACCAAACCATCTTCAGCGATAGCTGCTCACATGGAGATGTTTCCACCACGTTGTCCAGGCACATGGACAGTCGCCCGTTGGCCAATGAGGTTCCGCCCACGGCGTTGAGTTTTGGCCAGGTTGAATCGCGCTTCATCAACAAATATATACTTGTGATGGTTCACAGCAGCATCAAGCACCATCACCCTCTAAGAATATATTTTAGTTAGACATTTTACAGTATAGGTCCAATATGATACTGTAAAGTAGCATGTTCATCAAATAGTAACAGTAATACAGTATATAGTGCTTTACCTGAACATACTCGGCCCGCAGTCTTTTCACCCGGTCGTTGTTTCTCTCAAAAGGCAACAGGTAAATGTGTTTCTGTTATGATTTAACTGGATAGAACCCAAATGCAGACAAGTACACCAAGCCAGAGAAGTTTTAACAGGTTTATTATAAGTTCAATAGTCCAGGTTTCCAATAAATGGGGAAGAGCAAGTCCAGGTTACAGGGAGGGTAACAGATCCAGGTCAGGGCAGGTGTGGTACCGTAATGTCCTAGTGTCCGTGGTGAGTCCAAAGGAGAGGTCCGATAGTGGAGAGCAGGATGGTGGTGGCAGGAGTGAAGCGGAGGCAGGAGTCAGGTTCCAAATATATGGTTGTCTTGACTATGATCTGACGATGAGTGGCAAGTTTGACCGGGTCTTAAAGGGCTGAGGTGATTATTTTCATAGATACCTGGTGCCTCTTAAAAAGGCAGG